ATACCCTTTGATTAACTATCATAAAAATAATTGTATACTACAAAAAAGAAAAACTACTCAACATTTAACTAAAAAGGAAAAAATTGTTTCTCTCGAAGGCATGAAGTGCTTTCTTTTCATACTACTAGTAATAATAAAAATAGTCTATACTAATAATAAATGGGATACCATCTTTTGGTGTCCACAATTTGTTTCCTATTATTAGGTGTAATTAACTATCATAAAATTAATTGTATAATACAAAAATGAAAAACTACTCATCATTTAACTTAAAAGAAAAAAAGCTGATTCTCTTGAATGCACGAAGTGCCTTCTTTTCCTACTACTGGTAATAATAATAAAGATAATAATAATAATATAAATATTAATATTAATAATTATTATTATACACTAAGGTGAGTTAGGTCCATTCCAAAAAGGAAAAAACCCTTGGCAATTCAAGGACGAGGCACTAGGACACACGAAGAGAAATAGATGCAGTGTCTTCTGCAAACAAGAAAAGAAGATGAATTGTTTCGAAGTGGAAATTATTCTCTCAAATTCACAAACACATTTACAATTACAGAAAATTTGAGTTTCTGCAAAGTGCAAACAGAGAAGAAAACGAAGCCCAATGGTGTCACAGCCACAATGTTGTGGAATTTAATTGCGGTGGACTTTCATCATAGGTCGCATTTGGAGGGAGAAGATATTCGAGGCATGGGACTAACAAGAGAGACATTGAATCGTGAAAGGGGATGCACTATAGGATTTTAGGAAATTGCAATACCCATTTTTTTTGTATACTACAAAAAAGAAAAACTACTCAACATTTAACTAAAAAGGAAAAAATTGTTTCTCTCGAAGGCATGAAGTGCTTTCTTTTCATACTACTATTAATAATAAAAATAGTCTATACTAATAATAAATGGGATACCATCTTTTGGTGTCCACAATTTGTTTCCTATTATTCGGTGTAATTAACTATCATAAAATTAATTGTATAATACAAAAATGAAAAACTACTCATCATTTAACTTAAAAGAAAAAAAGCTGATTCTCTTGAATGCACGAAGTGCCTTCTTTTCCTACTACTGGTAATAATAATAAAGATAATAATAATAATATAAATATTAATATTAATAATTATTATTATACACTAAGGTGAGTTAGGTCCATTCCAAAAAGGAAAAAACCCTTGGCAATTCAAGGACGAGGCACTAGGACACACGAAGAGAAATAGATGCAGTGTCTTCTGCAAACAAGAAAAGAAGATGAATTGTTTCGAAGTGGAAATTATTCTCTCAAATTCACAATTTGTTTCCAATTATACTATTATCAGAAGTGGAAGAAATCATTCTTCTTATTTTATTCAAATGATTGGTCTAGTACATAAATAGGTAAAACAGGGAAATAAAAAAAGAAACAAATAATAGGCAATTCCTATAATTAAATAGGAATCCCTATAAATCAGTAACAGCAATAAAGAATAAATTGTAGATCCTAATCCCTGAAATTCTGCAACATAATAATATTCCATAAATTTTGGGATTTCTATCCAACATATACCCTTGGATTAACTATCATAAAAATAATTGTATACTACAAAAAAGAAAAACTACTCAACATTTAACTAAAAAGGAAAAAATTGTTTCTCTCGAAGGCATGAAGTGCTTTCTTTTCATACTACTATTAATAATAAAAATAGTCTATACTAATAATAAATGGGATACCATCTTTTGGTGTCCACAATTTGTTTCCTATTATTCGGTGTAATTAACTATCATAAAATTAATTGTATAATACAAAAATGAAAAACTACTCATCATTTAACTTAAAAGAAAAAAAGCTGATTCTCTTGAATGCACGAAGTGCCTTCTTTTCCTACTACTGGTAATAATAATAAAGATAATAATAATAATATAAATATTAATATTAATAATTATTATTATACACTAAGGTGAGTTAGGTCCATTCCAAAAAGGAAAAAACCCTTGGCAATTCAAGGACGAGGCACTAGGACACACGAAGAGAAATAGATGCAGTGTCTTCTGCAAACAAGAAAAGAAGATGAATTGTTTCGAAGTGGAAATTATTCTCTCAAATTCACAAACACATTTACAATTACAGAAAATTTGAGTTTCTGCAAAGTGCAAACAGAGAAGAAAACGAAGCCCAATGGTGTCACAGCCACAATGTTGTGGAATTTAATTGCGGTGGACTTTCATCATAGGTCGCATTTGGAGGGAGAAGATATTCGAGGCATGGGACTAACAAGAGAGACATTGAATCGTGAAAGGGGATGCACTATAGGATTTTAGGAAATTGCAATACCCATTTTTTTTTTGTATACTACAAAAAAGAAAAACTACTCAACATTTAACTAAAAAGGAAAAAATTGTTTCTCTCGAAGGCATGAAGTGCTTTCTTTTCATACTACTATTAATAATAAAAATAGTCTATACTAATAATAAATGGGATACCATCTTTTGGTGTCCACAATTTGTTTCCTATTATTCGGTGTAATTAACTATCATAAAATTAATTGTATAATACAAAAATGAAAAACTACTCATCATTTAACTTAAAAGAAAAAAAGCTGATTCTCTTGAATGCACGAAGTGCCTTCTTTTCCTACTACTGGTAATAATAATAAAGATAATAATAATAATATAAATATTAATATTAATAATTATTATTATACACTAAGGTGAGTTAGGTCCATTCCAAAAAGGAAAAAACCCTTGGCAATTCAAGGACGAGGCACTAGGACACACGAAGAGAAATAGATGCAGTGTCTTCTGCAAACAAGAAAAGAAGATGAATTGTTTCGAAGTGGAAATTATTCTCTCAAATTCACAAACACATTTACAATTACAGAAAATTTGAGTTTCTGCAAAGTGCAAACAGAGAAGAAAACGAAGCCCAATGGTGTCACAGCCACAATGTTGTGCAATTTAATTGCGGTGGACTTTCATCATAGGTCGCATTTGGAGGGAGAAGATACAGAAGCTGTTTTTACTATAATCCATCTGCTTGTCTGATGTCTTGATAGTATCTAAATGCCGCTTCTTTTGGTCAAGTGTATTGTTAGTTACAGGTAGATCTTGAAGCAAAATAGGAACAATAGGAAACAAAGTCCGCGTGTAGCGAGGATATAGTCCTTTTTCAATGCCTTTTTTGTAAAATCTAGGATCTTTATGTTTTACATGCTTTTATACACTTTTAATAGAATGTGAGTTCCAAGACAATGAATTTTGATCTATTAAGGTATAAAACATTTATTTAAAAATTTAAAAGCGTCAGTCATATTAAATAGTGGATGTTAAGAACAATTTGTATGGTTCATTTGATTTGCTTTGTCTTATAGATGCTACTTCGTCTTATAAAATCTGAAATAGCAAATTTTTTAAAGCATTTTCTTACCTAAATATGTAGTGTTTGTTATCATTTTAAACTTATAAAAAAAATGAGGGATTTAAGATCGTCTTTTAACTTTTTAGCCTTCATCGTCTTTCCTTGTGATGACAAGTAACTGTTCGGCTTAATTAATGCGAGCATTAAATGTATTTTCCCAAATGATATCTCTTATATGATGGAAAAGAAAAGGCCAAGGGACCTACTACAAGAGTTATGACAAGGAGAGCCCAAGAGGGTTGGGTTAGATTATAGGGAGGTAAGCCCATATTGATTTTCAGCTGGGTTATTACATGACTCTTAATAGTGCTTTGTATTTTCCTTAAGCCTTGTATTTGGGCTAGCTTAATTAGGATTTCTTTGCCCTGTGTATTTGAGCCATTAGATATGATATAAGTATACCTAGAAGGAGGTTATACATTTAAGTTTCATTTAGAAGCCATTTGAAATGCATTTGCACTCCATGTGACTGGTCAAGGGTGGTGCACATGGCATGATCCAAATGCATCTTCAAATGCCTTTTAAATGACATCTAAATGCCTTAGCCTTACTTCCTAGATGCAAGAGCACATGGTAGCACATAGGAGATAAGGTTTTGCACCAAATTTGAACCCAAATTAAAATTTAGTGTACATAGGAGTCAAGTAAACCATACCATGGTTTAACTTGACCCTAGGCTTAATCTAGCTTATCCAAGATGCCACCTAGATCTATATAAGGCCTCCTTTGTGTGTAAATTATGCACTTTGGATTACATATGAGATATTCATTTAGATTTCTCTCTCAAATCTAAAGCCAAATAGCTAAGCAAAACTAGCTTCATTAAGTTCCTTTAATAAGGAAACCTTCTTTAGGCATTGGTGCATGTTGTTCCTCCTTTGCTTGGGAGACTTTGAGCTTGCCTTCTTCTCCTTTCCTACCTCTTTTCATTCGATCCAAGCCAGCTTCAAGCCTCAAGAAAGATGTGTGGATCATTTGGAGTTCAAGAAGAGTGAATTCGACCATGTGTTCACTAAGGAATTCCATTATCTTATCTGATCAAGGAGGTTGCTTATCAACTTTTCATACCAAATGAAGCTTGTAGAAGCAACGTCAAAACGGTCCAATAGCAACAATGACTTTATCTACTTTTCTCCATGATTTTAAGGATCTTTGTCCCAGGTCCTAATGAAAAGTATGATCTTGTTCTCTTTAATAGATTTATGAGTTTCAAGATAATCTTCTAGTTCGATCTGTTAAGGAATAAAATATTCACAAAAATTTTGGCATCAATCTCAATAAATAATAAGCATTTAATGTATATAAGAAAAACTATATGTTTCATCTGATTTACATCGTCTTGTAGACAATTTGCATCTTAAATTTCATCTGATAATTATTTTCAAAGATATTTTCGAAGACATTTTTGAAGACATTTTCTCTTATAAAAATATTTTGTTTCTTAGCATGAAAGCTCTAAGCTCGAGGGATCAGGGATCATCAATCCCACGATAGAGTCACAATTCCACTGTGACCTACCTGGTCACAATTCACAGAGCGAGTTAGTTCGGAAGACCACTTTTGAGATGTTAGAGCACACGATTTTATGATCTAAATTTAGAAGGCAAACTAAGCGGACGGAGGCGCGTCGGACCTGGAGGCGCGTCGGACCTGGAGGCGCGTCAGAGTTGGAGGTGCGTCGGAGCTGGAGGCGCGTCGAAGCTGGTGCGTCGGAGCTGGAGTTCGAAATAGAGGACTGCGCGCACGATCGCGGAGAAGAAAGAAACAAAATCCGAGAGAGAGAGAGGAGAGGAGTGCGAGAACTGAAACCGCGAGAGGGAGAAGGGAGCATTAGGGCAAAAAAAGCCCATTTGAAAAGATGGACTTACCATTAATGAAGGGTATGTCGAAATCGCGCCGCTGTTTCCGTGATTTTTGCCACCCCGCTCCGCCACCGACGCGGCCGCTCCGGCCGCGACACAAATCTGCCACGCGACAGCAGCGAGGTTGCGGGGTCAGGCGGCTCCGCTACAGAGCGCCGCGATAGCGGCCGCTCTGCCCGCTATTGACTACTTCATACATGTGATTGTGCTTGACATTTTCCCCTAAACTTAATCTAGGTTTTTGCTGAATTGCAAAAGGCAAAGGAAGAGATTGAAAATTTGAAAGAGGAAGCACTTGCCAACAAAACTCACATGCTGCAGGTTTATTATTATTTTCGAACAAATTATATTTAATTTGTAATTCAACTAACTGGTTGTGTTTAATCTTTACACTGAAGTATAAGAGCATCTCTGAGGCAAATGAAGATGCTCTGAAACAGATAGAAAAGGCTCATGAAAATTTTAAAACCGAGGTATTCTAGCATATTGAATCTTGAAATATTTTTTTCCATGTAATTGCTATTGTGCTTACATATTTTGTTTGTATTTTTTGTTAACAAAATAGGCTGACAATGCAAAGAAAGTTCTAGAATCTGAACTAAATTCACTTAGACAGAAGATGTTAGAGATTGAAAATGAATCTTGTTTGAAATATGAAGAAGTTGCTTCAGAAACTGTGGGAAAGGATGAGGCTCTTACATCTGCTATGGCTGAAATCACAAATCTTAAAGAAGAAATTTTAACTAAATCGTAAGTTTTATCATAGCTCTGCAGTGTTAAATTTTCTGCACGTTTGGTTTCACATTTCTTTCATTTTGTCTGCATGTAGTTCTCAAATTTCAGAAATGGAAATTCAGATCTCGGGTTTGAAAGAAAACCTGGAGATGGAGCATCAGAAATGGCGGGCAGCTCAAACCAATTATGAAAGACAGGTACATGTTCTTGATATAGTAAAATATATTTACGTTAGGTTAAAATCTTATTTTTAGTCTATATAATTTCACTTACTTTACCTTTTATTCCATATAGTTTAAAATATACTTTTTTTGTTCATATACTCATCTTTTTCAATCCTTTTTAGTACCTATAGATTAAGATAAATCTTTTTATTTCTATACTTGCAGTTTTTAATTCTTTTAATCCCTATCGTTAATTTTTTTTTTTGTAATGTCTTTTTTGTTGACGTGATAAAGATATTAATTTAACTTTTTGTATTTGATCTCGAATTTATTTTATTAGAATTACTCTAAATTAGGTTCTTAAACGCATTGTGTTACTTTTGTACCTTCACTTGCAACATTCATTATTGAGACACCCACTTTTTTACTCTTACAAAATTGAAGACCTTTACCACATCAATACAAAATAGATACGGTTACAAAATATTAACAATAAAGACTAAAAAGATTAAGATCTGCAAATATATAAACTAAAATTTTTTATCTTAAACTATAGGGTTAAAAATGATTGAAAAAGATAAGTATAAAGATTAAAAATCCCTAATTTAAACTATAGGGAATAAAAGGTGAAGTGAGTGAAACAATAGGGACAAAAAATATTTTAACCTTTATTATATTAGATTGTTGCATGAATTTAGTCGAATGTTGATTTTGCCAGGCTGTCTGAATTTTGAGCAATCTGACTTTTTAATTTGGTAGAGATTATAATATTTTGATTCCTGTTGCTGCAAATTATTTAGTTGATGTTGGGTTTTTTTTTTTGTTTTCTTAAATGTTCATTAACTATAATCATAAAAAAAAAGTGCTCGTTGACTAAACTAGTTTTATTTTCTCTGTAGTTCCTTTTCTTTGTCTCTGTTTTTCCCTGTTGTTTTGCCTTTATTGAGTATATTTTATCCTTTAACCTTTTATATTCAAATCACTTTCGTTCTCAAATAAATTATCTTGTTATGTCAAATAAATTAATTAGTCTTGCTGCTTAATGTGCTTGGGAAAATGAAAGTCATGCTGAAATCCATTCGTTGTTGTTTGAATTGCTAACATCTGAAGATGTGAACATATTTTTTCTAAACAATTTTGGAAACTGTTGAAGATAACATATTGCATTATCTCTGCTTGTTATGATTTCTTTTCATTGTTTTTAATCTTAGATGTTTATTGTTCAGGTTGTTCTCCAGTCCAAAACTATTCAGGAGTTGACGAAAACATCTGAAGCACTAGCCCTGCTGAAGGAGGAGGCATCCGAATTGCGGAAACTAGCTAATACTCAGAAAATTGAAAATGTAAAAAATTTCCTATTTAACCCCTGATTTATTTTTATTATCTGTTTCTTTTTCAATACTTTTAACACAAATACATTAGTTTTTGAGGTACTTATTATTGTACCCCTTATGATTACCTGTTTTTGGTGTGATTTATGCTGTTTTTCTGGATTGCCATTAGATTAACATACTATATCTTCTGCTGCTTTGCCTTTTGGCTGTCATGCATTTTTAAAGGGATTCAAAAGCTTAAACCTAAGTGATATTTTCATATGAATTGTTTAATTATTGCTATTCAATGTTAGTGACACATGCTCAAGAATAAATGATTAGTTGTTTATTTCTTAAGTAATGAGTGTTGTTCTAAAAGAAGCATTATTGTATCACTATTATAGTGCAACAACAGGAAAATTATTTTGATATTTTTATGTATTTCTTGTTGAGTTGTTATTGATGTATTGCTTTATTTGTTATGAAATAGTTGATATTGATGTATTGCTTCATTTGTTATGTGTTTGTGTGTGTAGCTCATTGTACTAGTTCTTATTTATTCCAATAGTTCTAGCTAATTAGGGAAACAAATCATGAAAAGATAAAAAGGAAACAAGTTAATGGATAATTTAGGTCATAATAAGATATTTTCATATATTCTAACAGTTCCCCTCAAGTTAAAGCTTACTAAGCTTTAAGCATAATAGAAACCAAACAAGCCCTGAACTTAGAGGGAGAGTACCATGAGCAGAACAAACCCTCAAAGGATGTGAACAGGGAAGTCCAAAGAACAATGCGAGTATCACAGTGTGCAGATTGGTTGAAAACTCCCGTGAAGTGCCATGGGTTAGCTGGAATGTTCATTGGTGTGCCATAGGTTAGCTTGGAACTCCATTGGAGTACCATGGGTTGGTTTGAAACTGATGGGAGCTCTTAGTCAGATGGTTTGCATCTATAAGAGAGAAGAAACCAGCATCATTTATGAGGGTGAGAAAATAGGGTCACGTAAAATAAAAGGGAATAAAATCGCAAGACTTTCCCCCACTTAAACATCACAAAGTGTCGTCATTTGAGCCGGTGAATAAAAGGGGAAACAAGGTTGGTTTGTATCACTGAGCAAGTAGCAGCTGTAAGTGGCCGTTTTTAACCATTATTCACCCTACTCAAAATGTGACATTAAACTGTGACACAACTTGTTATTTATAGCGGTACACTACTGCTCCACACTAGAGCATTGCAATTGCCCAGTTACATAATGCGATAAACTACTATGGAAGTTAGGTTATTTTAGATTGAGGTAGAAGAAATGATAAAAGATAAATAATTGCTGATTTGATAATAACTGAATATTAGAAAATTGGGGAAAAAATCATGATAAGAGTTCTAAACTTGCCAAATTAAGGATACAGCACAATAGTGGGCTTGTTGGAATTAAGGAGAAAGTTATTGATTTACAATTTGATGGAAAGCAACCTTAATTTTGATCAACCATAGCTCCATTTAGTTTTGGCCTCTTTGGGGGTTGCCTAAATTGGAACATCAAGGGTGGTGGTTTATTTCCACATAGACCAGGGATAAAGTTGATAAAAGCTTCGATAGATTGCACCTTACATGCCAAATTTTTGGAATTGAGTTAGGCCCCAAACACAAATTCTAAGATGGTATAGGAGCTTATCTTATATTAGAATTTTGAGTCTTAGAGATTAGCGAAATAAAGAATGAGAGAGACAGAGAAGGATTAACAGAGAAAAGGAGATTGTATTTTCGGTAAGTAAATCTATAATACAATTATCCTATTTATATGTTTCAATAGCTTCAAAGGAAGCTATAGAAACATTGACCTGTTGAACAGGTAACCAAGCTAAAACAAAAAATAACTGACTGAAAGAATAACCCTATACATTGATATATCTAATACAATATTAAGGAGTAAAGATATACTCCAATACCCCCCTGCAAGATCAAGTAGGGTGAGGAGAAGAGTCGACCAACTTGAGCTTGGTCCGAAGTTCACAAAACCGAGATGGAGACAATGCTTTAGTAAGAATGTCAGCATATTGGTCAATGGCTGGAACATGAACCACTTGAAGGAGATAGGCAACAACTTTTTCACGAACAAAGAAGAGATCCAGCTTCATATGCTTGGTCCGAGCATGAAGTACTGGATTATGGGCTAATGCAACGGTGCTCATATTGTCACAATAAACAACAGGGGTATGATGGGAAACATGCAGTTCAGAGTAAGGTTTGAATCCGCATGACTTCAGTAGTGGCAAGGGCAAGACATCTGTATTCAGCTTCAGTGCTAGAGCGAGCAACAACTGTTTGCTTCTTGGACCACCAAGAGATGAGATTGGGTCCAACGAAGATAGAAGCACCAGAGGTAGATCTTCGGTCATCAGGATTAGAAGCCCAATCAACATCACAATATGCATGAATAGACAAAGGAGAGTTAGATGGAGCTGGTTGCAGATGTAATCCCAGGAACATAGTGCCTTTTAAGTATCGAAGAATGCATTTGATAGCAGACCAGTGTTGTTCAAGGGGATTGGACATGAATTGACAGACTTTATTGACGGAGAAGCTGATTTTAGGTCTAGTGATGGTTGCTTATTGTAATGCACCAATCACAGATCTGTATAAGGACACATCGAGGAATTTTTCCGAACTTGTTTTAGACAATTTACACCCACTGATCATGATCATGGGTGAAGAGATAGGATTAGAGTTTTCCATGTTGGGGCGATTGAGGAGGTCACGAATATATTTGCTTTGAGTTAGGGTAAGTGAGCCATCATAGTTAGATTTAACCTCAATGCCAAGAAAATAATCTAGGCGACCAAGATCCTTGAAGGAGAAGGCTGAGTTGAGTTGGGAAATAATATTCTGTAGGACATAAGAATTATTTCCAGTGATAATAATGTCATCTACATAGACAAGAATGTAGATTACATGGTTGCCATGGGAATAAACCAATAGGGAAGGATCACACTTGCTGATCTGGAAGTTGAGTTGAAACAATGTAGCTTTAAGTTTATCAAACCAAGCACGTGGTGCTTGTTTAAGACCATAAATTTCCTTATGAAGTTTGCAGACTAGAGTCTTATCCGATGATTCAAAACCTGGAGGTTGAGACATATATACCTCTTCTTCAAGATTGCCATTTAGAAATGCATTGTTGACATCCAATTGCTGAATGGACCAATGATGAGTTAGGGCTAAGGTGAGAACGAGACGGATGATAACAGGTTTAACAACTGGTGAAAAGGTTTCATTATAATCAAACCCAAATTGCTGATGAAATCCTTTTGCAACCAGGCGGGCCTTATATTTGTGAACAGTACCATTAGGATTTTCTTTAACACGAAAAGCCCACTTACAACCAATGGTTGTTCTATTGGAGGGAAGAGAGACTAGAGTCCAGGTTCCATTGTCCAGTAAAGCATTATATTCCTGCTTCATGGCAACAAGCCATGTATCATTAGCCAAGGCTTGTTTGGTACTTTTGGGTTCAGTATGAGTGAGTAAAAAAGTGGGTTGAAGGCGGGGTTTGACAATACCAGCTTTGGCCCTGGTAGTCATGGGATGAATATTAGCAATTGGGGCAATGACATGAGTGGGCAAAGAGGTGGATGAAGGTGGGAGAAGGGTAGAGGATGAACTAGGTGAAGTAGTAGCAGAACTGGATGGAGAAACAGAGGTAGAAGTTGTAGGAGATGTGTTTGAGAGATGATAGGAGGAGAATTAGTGGGCATGGTAGGCTGTGGACTGGTAATTACAAGGGGAACAAAAATTGAAGTGGGTGGATTGCTGGCTGACGCAGGGAATAAACTGGGATAAGGAAAACGATTTTCACAAAAAATAACATCTTTGGAGATAAAAAATTTGCTAGTAGGGGCTAGACACTTGTAACCTTTATGAGAGGTGGAGTAACCAAAAAACACACATTCTTGGGAACGAACTTGAAGTTTGTTCTTGTTTTAGGGTTGAAGTTGAGGAAAACAAGAACAACCAAAAATTCTAAGAAAGTTGTACTCTGGTAGCTGATGAAATAATTTTCTGAATGGAACATCATGCTGAATGGATGAGGAAGGCAGTCTATTAATGAGATAGACACTGGTTAGGAAGGCATGATCCCAAAAATGCATAGGGAGTATGAGCCTAGGCATGAGCCTAGGCTAGCATTGTAAGACCTAATTCAACAATATGCCAGTGTTTGTGTTCCACTATTCCATTTTGATGATGAGTATGTGGACAAATGAGGTGGTGTTGAATGCCATTTTGAGCAAGGTAAGAGGTGAAAGAGCGAAATTCTCCCCCCCCGCCAATCAGTTTGAATAGCTTTAATAGGTAATTGAAATTGATTTTGAATCATAGCATGAAATTGCTTAAAGACATCAAGCGTTTGAGCTTTGCTTTTGAGAAGAAAAATCCAAGTATACCGAGTATGCGCATCAACAGAAGTAACATAGTATTGATAACCATTATCAGATATAAATGGTGCAGGGCCTCATAAATCACTATATATTAGTTCAAATGGTGTATTATATATTGTTTTAGATAATGTAGAAGGTAATTTTTGAGATTTGCCAAGACAACAAGGAGTACAAAAATCAGAGACGGTTTTATTGATGATAGGAGAATTACAAAGTCTGAATACAGATTTCAGTACATCATTGTGTGGATGTCCAAGTCGAGAATGCCAAGTGGTGTAAGAAACAGAATTACAAGAAGCTGTATGAGCAGAGGGTGTAATGGCTGATTGTTGTCTTGGCTGAAGCAAAGATGGGAATTGCTACAGGCCATCAGGGCCAACAACTCCCATGAGGAGAGTCTCTTTAGTGTCCTATGATTTAACCAAACAGAAAGTTGAGTGAAATTCTTGCAGAATTGACTCACACTGATTAGATTTTTGGTAATATTGGGAACATAAAGAAGGTTATTGAGAGTAAGAGAAATGTGAGATCTGAAAGGGGAAGAAAACTCAGTTACACCTGAAGAGTTTATGGGAAGACCCTAGCCATTTGGCAATGATGATCTGATCTGGCCCTTCAAAGGGAGTGAATTGCTGTATATTTTGAGACATGTTGGTGACATGATTAGAAGCTCCTAAGTCTGGATACCACAGATTGGAACCAGGCGAAAAGGAAGTCATAGCCAACGCTGGTGGTTGAGCTTGAAGGTTGCCAGTGGAGACAAGGTATGCCTGAGATGAGGTGGGGTTGGGTGGTCGAGAACCCAAAATACCATTAGAAAACCTAGTGGGATGCGTTGCTGGTTGTGAGCAAAAGGGAGAGGGAGTGTACCCAGGGGCTAGGTGGGCAGTTGAGTTGGTGGAAAAGGAATTGTCAAAGGGGAAAACTGGGACAAAATTGCTACCAAACCTGAAATAGCAAGAGGATGCAATGTGGCCATATCGGTGACAGACTTGGCATTGAATGCCAGCAAACCTGTCACGGCCTCATCCATAGCGATTGTTGGGTCGTCCACCACGACCATTCCGTGCACCAGCTCTGCCACCACGGAAGGAAGCAAATTGAGAGTCTTGATGGGCTAGATTGGCTGGCGATTGCAAGGTGGGGGAATTAGAACTTGAGGAGTTTTCAAGGATATTGACAGAGATGAGGTTCTTTTTCTTGAATTTCTCAGGCGCGATTCATGAGCAAGAAGAAGGGTTTCAACTTCTTCTATTGACAGTTCATCAAAACGGTTGTTGATTAGAGAAACAATGGACTCATATTCCTCCGGAAGACCGTCAAGAACAATATCAAGATGTTCTTTGGGGGAGGCAGAATCACCAATGGCGGTGAGGGCATTGACCAGGGATTGAATTTGAAGAAGGTAATCGGAGATTGAATGATTGTTAAGAGTCGTGCTGTGAAGATCACTTCGGAGTTGAGGGGCTTTGGCATTAGTGTGCGCATGAAAATATGCATGGATCTTGTCCCATATTTGGAAGGAAGATTTGCACCCAATGACTCGAGTGAGCATGTCCTTGGACATTGATGATTGTAACCAGGAAAGAAGTAACTGATCTTATTGTTCCCAAGCAAGATATTCTTCAGAAATTTGATTGGCATCTTTGTCAGAAATTGAAAGAAATTTTTGAGGAATTTGGGGATTGACCAAGAAATGGTGAAGACGGTGGCCTTTGATGACAGGTTCAACTTGTTGACACCAAAGAAGATAGTTCTTCGTGTCTAATTTTTCAGAGATAGTGTGCGAGAAGGTAAGGGAAGGGGTTGAGGAGGGTTTGACCGGTGCAGCATGAAAGTGGGGTGGTGATTGGGGAGGTATTGTTGAGGAATAATCTAGGTTTTTGCTGAATTGCAAAAGGCAAAGGAAGAGATTGAAAATTTGAAAGAGGAAGCACTTGCCAACAAAACTCACATGCTGCAGGTTTATTATTATTTTCGAACAAATTATATTTAATTTGTAATTCAACTAACTGGTTGTGTTTAATCTTTACACTGAAGTATAAGAGCATCTCTGAGGCAAATGAAGATGCTCTGAAACAGATAGAAAAGGCTCATGAAAATTTTAAAACCGAGGTATTCTAGCATATTGAATCTTGAAATATTTTTTTCCATGTAATTGCTATTGTGCTTACATATTTTGTTTGTATTTTTTGTTAACAAAATAGGCTGACAATGCAAAGAAAGTTCTAGAATCTGAACTAAATTCACTTAGAGAGAAGATGTTAGAGATTGAAAAAGAATCTTGTTTGAAATATGAAGAAGTTGCTTCAGAAACTGTGGGAAAGGATGAGGCTCTTACATCTGCTATGGCTGAAATCACAAATCTTAAAGAAGAAATTTTAACTAAATCGTAAGTTTTATCGTAGCTCTGCAGTGTTAAATTTTCTGCACGTTTGGTTTCACATTTCTTTCATTTTGTCTGCATGTAGTTCTCAAATTTCAGAAATGGAAATTCAGATCTCGGGTTTGAAAGAAAACCTGGAGATGGAGCATCAGAAATGGCGGGCAGCTCAAACCAATTATGAAAGACAGGTACATGTTCTTGATATAGTAAAATATATTTACGTTAGGTTAAAATCTTATTTTTAGTCTATATAATTTCACTTACTTTACCTTTTATTCCATATAGTTTAAAATATACTTTTTTTGTTCATATACTCATCTTTTTCAATCCTTTTTAGTACCTATAGATTAAGATAAATCTTTTTATTTCTATACTTGCAGTTTTTAATTCTTTTAATCCCTATCGTTAATTTTTTTTTTTGTAATGTCTTTTTTGTTGACGTGATAAAGATATTAATTTAACTTTTTGTATTTGATCTCGAATTTATTTTATTAGAATTACTCTAAATTAGGTTCTTTGACGCATTGTGTTACTTTTGTACCTTCACTTGCAACATTCATTATTGAGACACCCACTTTTTTACTCTTACAAAATTGAAGACCTTTACCACATCAATACAAAATAGATACGGTTACAAAATATTAACAATAAAGACTAAAAAGATTAAGATCTGCAAATATATAAACTAAAATTTTTTATCTTAAACTATAGGGTTAAAAATGATTGAAAAAGATAAGTATAAAGATTAAAAATGTCTAATTTAAACTATAGGGAATAAAAGGTGAAGTGAGTGAAACTATAGGGACAAAAAATATTTTAACCTTTATTATATTAGATTGTTGCATGAATTTAGTCGAATGTTGATTTTGCCAGGCTGTCTGATTTTTGAGCAATCTTACTTTTTAATTTGGTAGAGATTATAATATTTTGATTCCTGTTGCTGCAAATTATTTAGTAGATGTTGGGTTTTTCTTTTTTTGTTTTCTTAAATGTTCATTAACTATAATCATAAAAAAAAAGCAAACAATACATAATATAAAATGTCTCCAAAACAAAGTAGAAAAGAAATTTTAAAAAATTGTTGAATTATATTTAATCAGAAAACAAATCTGATAAATTAAATTTAATCAAAAATTAAAAATACAATTTTCTGAAATTAAAAATAAAATTTTCTGAATTAAATTTAATCAGAAATTAAAAATAAAATCAGCTGAATTAAATTTAATCAGAAATTAAAAATAAAATTTACTGAATTAAATTTAATTAGAAATTAAAAATAAAATTTGCTGAATTAAATTTAATCAGAAATTAAAAATAAATTTTTTTGAATTAAATTTAATCAGAAATTAAAAATAAAATCAACTGAATTAAATTTAATCAAAAATTAAAAATAAAATTTGCTGAATTAAATTTAATCAGAAATTAAAAATAAAATTTGTTGAATTAAATTTAATCAAAAATTAAAAATAAAATTAGCTGAAATAATTTAATAAAAAATTAAAAATAAAATTATGTTGCAATGTTGCATAAAAGAGAGAAGAGTCGAAGGAGAATAGAAGGCAAACTAAGCGGACGGAGGCGCGTCGGACCTGGAGGCGCGTCGGACCTGGAGGCGCGTCAGAGTTGGAGGTGCGTCGGAGCTGGAGGCGCGTCGAAGCTGGTGCGTCGGAGCTGGAGTTCGAAATAGAGGACTGCGCGCACGATCGCGGAGAAGAAAGAAACAAAATCCGAGAGAGAGAGAGGAGAGGAGTGCGAGAACTGAAACCGCGAGAGGGAGAAGGGAGCATTAGGGCAAAAAAAGCCCATTTGAAAAGATGGACTTACCATTAATGAAGGGTATGTCGAAATCGCGCCGCTGTTTCCGTGATTTTTGCCACCCCGCTCCGCCACCGACGCGGCCGCTCCGGCCGCGACACAAATCTGCCACGCGACAGCAGCGAGGTTGCGGGGTCAGGCGGCTCCGCTACAGAGCGCCGCGATAGCGGCCGCTCTGCCCGCTATTGACTACTTCATACATGTGATTGTGCTTGACATTTTCCCCTAAACTTAATCTAGGTTTTTGCTGAATTGCAAAAGGCAAAGGAAGAGATTGAAAATTTGAAAGAGGAAGCACTTGCCAACAAAACTCACATGCTGCAGGTTTATTATTATTTTCGAACAAATTATATTTAATTTGTAATTCAACTAACTGGTTGTGTTTAATCTTTACACTGAAGTATAAGAGCATCTCTGAGGCAAATGAAGATGCTCTGAAACAGATAGAAAAGGCTCATGAAAATTTTAAAACCGAGGTATTCTAGCATATTGAATCTTGAAATATTTTTTTCCATGTAATTGCTATTGTGCTTACATATTTTGTTTGTATTTTTTGTTAACAAAATAGGCTGACAATGCAAAGAAAGTTCTAGAATCTGAACTAAATTCACTTAGACAGAAGATGTTAGAGATTGAAAATGAATCTTGTTTGAAATATGAAGAAGTTGCTTCAGAAACTGTGGGAAAGATAGAAAAGGCTCATGAAATTTTTAAAACCGAGGTATTCTAGCATATTGAATCTTGAAATATTTTTTTCCATGTAATTGCTATTGTGCTTACATATTTTGTTTGTATTTTTTGTTAATTTCATGTTACAAGATGGAGGATAAATTATTCATCCTGCCTTCATTTTTGAGTATTCATGATTAATATTTATATCAAGTTAATCTTGTATTCATATTACTAATTATTACCTAATATATTGTTCCAAAGCACACCAGTTGTCTGACATGGGTAATAACTAATAACTTTTCCCTTTCAATCTTCATATAATTATCTTTATGGATAGAGTTATCATCTATATCTCAACCAAGTCTCTTATCCAGTTGCACTTTCTCTGCTAATTTGAAGTGGTGACTGGTGATCATTATGATTGGTTTTGTGAGTGGGGGTGAGGATTTTGTTGTTATATTTTCTTGTCTTTTTTTATGTACAATGACTCCCATAAAAATTCCTAACTTTGGTTTCAAAGAGATTCAGTATCTCTTTACTGTTACTGGTGCCTGTCCTAGATGTGTTTGCTTTCTGGCACTAATTTAGAAGCTGCCTCTCACCTTCTGATGTTCACTGCCAAAAAAGAGCTAATATACTAATGTTGAGCATATAGACATGGTTTAGCCTCCAGGGATTATTTTCTATTTTGTTCTGAGCCCTCACTACATTTGAGCCAATTGTTCATAAGCAGAAAATTTTATCTGCCTTTTTTTTTGTATAATTTTTCTTAGGGTACGAATGTGGTTCAACTTCTTTCTGGATCCAATGTTGATGACTTTGCTGCTCCTTACCTATCTGCTGTGGAAACTTTTGAAAAGGAAGCTCAGTCAGTATTTCGTGAGTTTGGAGGTCGTGGTAATCTCGGAGAAATAGCAACAATTACAGATAGTTCAGCGGCTGCTACAGGTTATTTCATTTATAATGTTGTGCAAATCAAGTTAGCTAAATATTGAAAGAATGTAGATTAAGGATTTTAAACAGAATGCAGTTTTCAATAATTACTCATAGTGGCAAACTCATGGACTCATCATTTCACTTGTCAAAGTTACTCATATATCATGTCTCATTGTCACATATCGTCATATTTCATATCTCATATTCACTTTTCACATTGTCTCATCATATTCACATAATCTCCACAGAGCACTCTAATTCATATTAAAACTTATCTATTTTTGAAATTAAATACATCTTTACACTCAACATCACACAAGGAACTGAATAGAACATTCAGAAAGAAAAACAGAAAACTTTCATAAAGTGCCTATACCTATTAGGCAAGGGATTGGGGGCCAATCTTGCTACCCAATAGTTATTCCCACACCCCCGAGTGAGATTTATCCCTCCCCCTTACTTGATAAGTAGAAGATGAAGCTAGAGCAGAATTTGGTTGGTCTCCTTTTCTTGGTTCTCCTTGGTCTTCAAAGAGCGTAGAAAGGAAAATGAAGTCAGAAGCGTGAAATGCTTTTGGTAGCCTCAGGTAACTTCCTAACTGTTGATAACTCATAGCAAGCTTTATTAGATCTTCAACTATGGAGATTTTAAGTGCTTTGTGGCAACCTTTCACACTAGAAAAATATCTTACAGATCTCAAGAAATACAAACAGAGAAAGAGAGAGATTTGGAGCTATATGGACTTATAGACGACTTTTATTTTTCGTCCCTGGAGCAGTGCCTGAGTATGCTATTTATGGATGTTAGAAGTGGCTAGAACAGCCTGTTTCAGATCCAGAACGGACCGTTCTGGATCCATTCGTCATGTGTTAAATTTGCATCTAGAACGACCTGTTCTTAAACCAGAATGGCCTGTTCTAGAGTTGAGTTTTAACTCATAACTATAATTTTGGAACAGCCTGTTCCAATCTAGGTTTTAGGCCTTTTTAGTGGTTTGGAATGGCCTGTTCCAGTTTGAGAATAGCCCGTTCCAGGTTACTAAATCAGTTTTTACAAGGCTTTTTGAGTCTCCTGGTGTCATATCATGTTCTTTCCATGCTGATGGATGACCATCCTTGAGACATCATATAAGGCCTATAACAAGGTCCATGGCGAGGAGAGTAGAGGAAGATGAAGAACACACCACACCAAAAGCGATGCTTATCATGTGTGTGGATTATGGGCCCTCTCCTTAGCTTGTTGCTTTCCATTCCTATTTTGCCCTTGTATTTTGGGATACATTAGATATTAGGATTTTAATTTTAATTTTTATTTAGCCTTTGTATTATGGGGAAAATTAGTCTTAGGATTTATTTAGGGACTTAACCTTGACTTGTGAGGTCAAAAGTCCATTTCTTTCATTTTTTAGGACTAGGGGTACTTTAGACTTTTTGGAGTGATGAAAGCCATTTCATTTGGGCTGCATCTAGGGTTCATTTAGGGTGCATTTGGGCTTGAAATTTTCGGCCAAATTCCCCCAAGAAACCCTAGATGCACTCCTCTCTCTCTATAAGTACTCTAGTCCTTCCACCTTGTACCCGCTTTGGAGTATATGCATTTTGAGTGATCCTTTGTGCCTCAAAAGCCTTCCTTAGTCTCCTAGGGATCTCTTGCCCAACCTCCTCTCCTCTCTACCCTAAAGAGAGTTTGAGTTCCCTTGAGTGGCCTCCACCAACCCTTGGTGCAGAGAGCTAGCTAAGAGCACCAAGAACACCATCCACCTCTCCTTCTCCTTTTTTGCCCACCTACACTCTCCACACTTCCAACCTTGTTTTTCACCACTCTTGAGGAACATCAAGCCATCATCCCTTCTTCCTAGTCCATGGAGAAAGAGGGACATCCTCCTTGGAAGCCAAAGAACCCACCATGGAAGGAAGGAGCCCATCATGTGGTATCAAGAGCCATGGTTTTCTTCAAGGGTGACTTATTTCCTTCTCTTGTGTCTTTAAAATTTTTCCTTGTCATGTCTATGTCTTCTTATATGTCTTGATGTTATCTTTGATGTTGTCTTCTCAAATCTTGTTTGAAATATTGTGTTCTTGTTGAGTGGTTCATTACTTGTTCATGAGCCTCCTTGTTCTCCTTTAAGTTTCTCTTAAAATAGGTTCTTTTGTGCTTTTCTCTATTTTGTCTTAGCTGGAAATTTTTGTTTCAAGAACATGATGAGCACGTTGAACACTACATGAACTCTATTTTGATCTTTCCTCATCCAAGTTTTGTCAAAGTTTATGTTTCCCTTTCTCTTCTTTCTTCTTAAAATTCAAAATCTATGCATGACACACGTTGGTTTGCATGAAACATGAAAAATGATGCATGACACTTCTCTCCTTGTGGCTGGCCGAACCATATATGTCCATCTTAGAAGTCAATCTTGCATGATAATTAGTCCTTAACATGCTCCAAGATTTGTTGAGTTTCTATGTGTAACTTGTATCTTGCACATTTATGGTTAACCACTCTTGCATGCAACCATCACCCCTTGTCTTGTTGCCCATTTTGAGTCAACCAAGTGAGTTGTAATTCTGAAATATTGCTGAACATACTGCAAAAATCTGCACCTAACAAGAAGACAAAAGTACCAAAGACACTTCACCCAAAACTTTCCATTTACATGCTATTAGTCTTTTTTGTCCCCTTTCTTGTTTTGTGCAACCTTGTAAACCACCACAAGTGTAAAAACCAAGAAACATAATAAGAAAAAAAGAGAATCAAATCTGATCCTATGGTGCCCAAAAATCTGGCGTGAAAATTAAAAGAAAAAAGGGAGAAAAGAAACAAAATTTTTTTTAAAAGGAATTGTTGCTAGACTTGTGGACTTGGACCATTTTACCCTTGCACATTTGGACTTGGACTTAGACTATTTTAGACCTATTTTAGACCAAAACCTTAGCTGGACTTGGACGAATACCTTGGCTAGACTTGGGAGGATGGACATGAAATTATAAAGACAAGAAACACTAAACACTTAATTATACTCTAGAGCCATGTCGCCACCGGCCCAAACGGGCCTCGGCTGTCGCGAAGACGGTCGAGCTCGCTTTTATTTTAGTTTTGAAAATGTATTGGATTATTAGAACGACTTGTTCTCAAACTGAGACCTTGTCGATCTTATCCAATTTATTTATTAAATGTCTCACCAATCCCTGTTAATCCCAAGCGGGACCCTCCATGGATTAGTGGTTTTCGCAAAAGGAGGGTTCTTTGGAGTCGCCACCAATGTTTTACTCAAAACATTGGAAAAAGGGATAAGGCAATTGATTTTATAAATCAACTTTGGCCATTACAACCAGAGTTGGGTAAGGGAGTCGGTTACGCGTGGGGAAGGTGTTAGCACCCCACAGCGCCCCTTTCGGGTTCCCTATGACAGATTATTTCTAAAATAACAGTGTAAAATTACTAAATTACCCCTATTTATTAAAGAAAAACCCAACATCTACTAAATAATTTGCAGCAACAGGAATCAAAATATTATAATCTCTACCAAATTAAAAAGTAAGATTGCTCAAAAATCAGACAGCCTGGCAAAATCAACATTCGACTAAATTCATGCAACAATCTAATATAATAAAGGTTAAAATATTTTTTGTCCCTATAGTTTCACTCACTTCACCTTTTATTCCCTATAGTTTAAATTAGACATTTTTAATCTTTATACTTATCTTTTTCAATCATTTTTAACCCTATAGTTTAAGATAAAAAATTTTAGTTTATATATTTGCAGATCTTAATCTTTTTAGTCTTTATTGTTAATATTTTGTAACCGTATCTATTTTGTATTGTTGTGGTAAAGGTCTTCAATTTTGTAAGAGTAAAAAAGTGGGTGTCTCAATAATGAATGTTGCAAGTGAAGGTACAAAAGTAACACAATGCGTCAAAGAACCTAATTTAGAGTAATTCTAATAAAATAAATTCGAGATCAAATACAAAAAGTTAAATTAATATCTTTATCACGTCAACAAAAAAGACATTACAAAAAAAAAAATTAATTTGACGCCTTTTAAATTTTGTATATATATATTTAAAATGTTATTTATCTTAAATTATTGAAAGTGATAAAAAAAAGTTATTTTGGATTTTAAAGAGTGAAATTTAAGAAAAATATTTTACAGTAACTAAAATTAAAATTTATTTGTTTTTCAACGATCAAAATTATTTTGAAGAAAAATATTATTGGACATTTTTAAGCCGAATATATAACATTGAAAATGTTAAATATTTCTTTTTGTCCCTTATAATATTTTTTATTTTAATTTAGTCTCACTTTAATTTTTTGTTCCAATTTAGTCCCTAATAATTAAAATCATTGTAATTTGGGACTTTCGTCCAAATGATTTAAATGGGGTGAACTGTTGGCCACATGGATGTCACGTAGATGCGTACGTGGACGTCAAAGTGCATGAATACACCTGGAACCAGAACGGTCCGTTCTAGCTGCATTCTTGGTGTGTTAATTTTGCAACCGGAACGGACTATTCCAAATGCAAATTTCACAAACTATCAGTGCATCAGAACGGGCTGTTCTGAAACCAGAACGGGCTGTTCTGGTTTCAGAACGACCTGTTCCAAAAAACCAACTCCATGCATCCGTTGACCAAAATACCGCAACGTGATTCAAAAATTGAAAATAAAAATTCATAACATATCATAAATTCAAAGATAGAAACATGGTTTAGAAACTGAAAACCAAAATTCAGAACATAACAATGAAATAAAATTTACTACTATTGTCTTTAGTGATACACTGCATTGTCCTTAATGATACACTGTATAGCCCAACTGTTTAGCAATTGAAGTTATCAATTTTCATTTATAATATTACCAAATTCAGTGTTTGAAATTCTTTGTACCTTGGGTCACAACTGCAAACTATAATAAGTGACCATTCGTGTTTGGTATTCTGGAACCAGAACGACCCGTTTTGAAATCAGAACGGGCCGTTCTGGTTCCAGGTTTTTTCAAAAATTTTGGTGTCCACGTACGCATCTACGTGGCATCCATGTGGATGCCACGTGGCCAACAGTTAACTCCGTTTAAATCATTTGGACGGAAGTCCCAAATTGTAATAATTTAAGTTATTGAGACTAAATTGAGACAAAAAATTAAAATAAGACTATCAAATAGTGATCAAATAGATGTCTCACATTCTATAACGAGTTTACATACATCTCTAGTGTGATCTTCAATAAGTTCTTACTCTTTCAAAACATCACATTCTTCCTCTTCTCTCATATAATCAATTCAAGCAAAATATATAATAAAATACATAAAACAAATAAAATAAAACACATATTTTTCTCTAATAAATATTATAACAAATAATTTCACAAACCTTTCTTTATTAATAAAAATACTCATAATTACATAATTTTTTTAAATTATATTTTAAAACCAAATAAATTAAGTAAAACTCTACTATTATTTTTAGGAAAAATTTGGAATGTTACAAAAGTCAATACCTTATAATATAAAATTAATAATTAATATAATTTTTTAAGATAATTATTTTAAAATTAAACAATTTTGACCATATTTTTTTTTATGAGTAAGAATGTAAACAATAAGCTAAAGATAAGAATTAATGCCTTAAAATACAAACACACATAACATCAACTAGGATGATATGTAATAAGGATGAAGACATTGTTCCAAAATGATGAAATCAACAAGAATTAATGAAATGAGATGTACCAATTTTACATTGACAAATTCCATAATATTATTTCAGTTGTCAGTTTTAAAGCAAGAAAAGGAAGTCATATCAAATGCTGAAAAAAGAGCATCTGATGAAGTTCGCAGTTTATCTGAAAGGGTGCTGCGTTTGCAGGTCAGCTGTGTTTTTATTTTTTAATTTTCATAAATTTGCATATTCTTACACTCGATATTGCAGGCTAGTTTGGGTACCATACAGAGTACTGAGGAAGTTCGAGAGGTAGGTTATCATCATGAACTCGTGTTACTTTCATGTTTCTATAGTAGTTTCTATTTGATTCTTATTTATTTGAAAAATGTAGGAAGCAAGAGCTGCAGAGAGGGTTAAACAAGAAGAATATATAAAGAAATTGGAGGTGTGTTCTCCTGTGTCCTTATAAGTACTTCGTATTAGTTGCTTAATCATATTTTTCTTTCCTTGAAGAAGTGCATACATGTTTTGTTTGCTCTATTTTGTATACCTTGGTCTTAGGTCTTCACAAATTGTAGTTGTATACCTTGGTCTTAGGTCTTCACAAATTGTAGTTTAACTTCAATATCTATACATAGGAAAAATTCTCAAGTCTTCAAAGCAAAATGGGATCCGCAAATGATAAGTTTTGTTTCTTTGATTGGTTTTGCTAATTTGTGAAGTGTCTTGTTGATGGTTTGTCCTTTAGAACTATAAGGGTTTTACACACTTTATGGTTTAGTGTGTAGAATTTTTCATTGAATATCATTTCCAACTTCGAAGTTATAATTTTTGTTGGCATTGTGATTTTTTAATAGCTCATTTTTTTTTTATTTTTTTTTTATCAAAGATGTAATTTATCAGATGTGTCAGAAATTTATAACAACTAAGAAAGGGAGAGAAGCAGGATAAAGTTAATGAAAAGTTTATAATGTGAAAAAGTTAAGTTTTTATTCTGTGTTTTGAATGAATTGACTGAAGTTCTATCAGGTTCTTTAACATCCGTATGTAATCTTCTAATCATTATTGTTGCATATACATACATATATATGTTTGTGTGTATGTTCAGATAAACTTGTTTAGTGTGAGTCGAATCACTCGAGCATTATTTAGAATAACTCTCAAACTTAAGTTGGTATTAGAGCAAGTTGATCCTACTTTTTCACTGTTCAAGGTTAACCACAGTCTTCTGTTGCCTTTTGTCCCCATTGGTCGTTGTCTCTATCTGGCAACCTTCGGATTTGGTGTGTATAGTGACACCCAACCCTAGTGGTTGCAAAAGAAAAAACAACCTCACGTTTCTCCATGCTCCTCCTCTTTGTGTGGTTAGATCTAGCACATGAATGTGTGTTTCATGCACTTCCTTGTTGTGACTAGAGTGATGCTATGACTTTTCAAGATGTTTGTCAACCCTGTCCTAACCCCAAACCCAACCACTTTTTGTTTGTTTGTTTGTTTGTTTGTTTGTTTTTTTTTTTTTTTTTTTTTTTTTCTGTTTGTGTTTGGACAGCAGGCTTGAAAAGTTCCCATTTTGGTCTTCTTTGGAACTCCCATGGTAACTTCAGAGAAACTAAATGGAAAAAACCATCTTTCCTGGGTAGCCTTTGTTGAGCTTTGGTTTCTTGGTCATGGTTAGTATGATCATCTTTTCAAAAAGACAACAAAGGAACCCCCTAGGTGACCTAGACGACCTGCGGCAAAGGGCCACCAAATATATGCAGATGGAGGAACTGGCCGAGTTTTGCAACCAAAACCGACCCGACCTGTCTCTCGCTAAAAGAGAGAATGACAAGGAACCCCCTAGGTCTCGTCCTCGAGAAGCGAAAGATCGTGAGAAGAACAATAACAGAGGTCCAAGGTATATGCAATATACGCCGCTCAACACTAGCAGGGCCAAGGTGTTGGAGCAAGCTCTAGCTACGGAAGTTTTGGCCGTTCCTCGAAGAGCCTTGACCCCCCCTCACGCCGACAAGACAAAAGCATGTCAATTCCATCGGAATAGAGGACACACTACGGAGGAGTGCTCCGCCCTTCGGGATCACATCGAAGATCTCGTTAAGGCCGGTCACCTCCAAAACTTCATTCGGACCACAGATAACAGAAGAAACGACTACCGCCCTGGAAGAGGGGAGCACAGAAGGGACAACCGAGATCGAGCACCTCCCCGGAATCGATCCCGCGAGCGTAGCAGGTCTCAAGAAAGAAACGACCAACGAGACCGCAATCATCCCAGGCGAGTCATAAACACCATTGCTGGAGGTTTTGCAGGGGGTGGGAGCTCGTCTTCAGCCCGGAAGAGACACTTGAGGGCTATTAAGTCGGTCAACGTTATAGGACGGGCATCTCCCGTTCGTATGCCCCCTATAACGTTCACTGACCGAGACTTCCACGACATTGAACCGGTGCAAGACGACCCAATGGTCATCAGCGTGGAGATCAACAATTGTCTTGTAAAAAAGACGCTGGTCGATCAGGGAAGTTCGGCCGACATCTTGTACTGGAAGACGTTCGAACAATTAGGCATCCCGGAACAAGAGCTGACGCCTTACGATGAGCCTTTGGTAGGATTCTCGGGCGAACGGGTGGATACTCGAGGAACCATAGACCTATACACCTACTTCGGGGATGACCAGCGCAGGCGGATCAAGGTGCGTTACGTGGTAGTGCAGGCCAACACCTCGTACAACATTTTATTGGGTAGACCTTCTTTGAACAAGCTCCGAGCCATCGTATCCACCCCACATTTGGCCATGAAATTTCCATCAGAGGAAGGGACCGTGATCACTATGCATGCTGATCAGAAAACGGCACGCGAATGTTATTTCGCCAGCTTGAAAATACAGCCAACTCCAAAGCCACGATGAGATGTTAACGTTGTTGGTGATGTCGACCAACAAAAATTAGTTGAAGGCCTAGAACTTGATCCGAGGATGGAGGATGATGATAGGGTCGAACCCGTTGAAACGAAGGTTCCTTTCCAACTCGGAAGGAATGAAGACCAAGTCACCTTCTTGAGCTCTCAACTATCTGAAGTAGAGGCCAAGGATATTAAGCAAGTCCTACGAAAGAACTCGGATTTATTCGCTTGGACCGCAGCCGACATGCCGGGCATCGATCCAAGTTTCCATTGCCACCGACTCTCAATATGTCGAGACGCCAAGCCCGTTGCCCAAAAGAAGAGAAAAATGGGTGGAGAAAGGGCCCAAGCGATAAAAGAAGAGACCTCCAAGCTACTCCAAGCAAGATTCATAAGGGAAGTCAAGTATTCTACTTGGTTGGCTAATGTGGTGATGGTCAAGAAATCAAGCGGGAAGTGGCGGATGTGCACAGATTACACGGACCTGAACAAGGCGTGCCCAAAAGACGCCTACCCTTTACCCCACATTGACGCGCTGGTGGATGGGGCGGCCGGCCATCAAAGATTGAGTTTCTTGGATGCCTACTCGGGATATAATCAAATACCTATGTACCCACCGGATGAAGAAAAGACAGCCTTCATTACCGACTCGGCTAACTTCTGCTATAAAGTAATGCCATTCGGATTGCGAAACGCCGGTGCCACCTACCAGAGACTCATGGACAAGATCTTCCGCCACCAAATAGGGACATGTCTAGAGGTATATGTGGACGACATGGTGATCAAGTCCACGTCAGCCACCGACCATTTGAAAGACCTCAGCACGATCTTTGATGAAGTAAGGCGGCATCACATGCGTCTGAATCCAGCAAAATGCACCTTTGGGGTAGCTGGCGGAAAATTCTTAGGATTCATGTTAACAAAAAGGGGCATAGAAGCCAACCCCGACAAGTGCCAAGCTATTATCAACATGCGAAGTCCTCGCAACGTAAAAGAAGTACAGCGACTGGCCGGGCGCATCGCTTCTTTGGCCCGTTTCCTCCCCTGCATGGCCGAGAAATCAAGGCCCATAATGACCTTACTGAAAAAATCTGCTAAGTTTCAATGGAACGAAGAATGTGAGTTAGCTTTTCAAAACTTCAAAACAATGCTCATGTCGCCCCCATTATTGACCAAACCGGATCCTCAACTAGACATGATAATGTACATATCAGTCTCGGACAAAGCCATTAGCACGGTTTTGGTACAAGAAAAAGTGGAACAGATGCCGGTGTACTTCATCAGCCGGGTGCTGCAAGACGCCGAAACAAGGTATCAACACCTTGAGAAAATAGTGTTAGCCCTTGTACATACTGCCAGACGCCTCCGACACTACTTTCAAAGCCACAAGATACTGGTCCGAACAGACTACCCCATTGTCAAGGTCCTACGGAAACCCGAATTGGCCGGAAGGATGGTCGCTTGGTCCATCGAATTGTCGCAATTTGATATTCATTTTGAACCAAGGGGACCCATCAAGGCGCAATGTATGGCCGATTTCATCAATGAATTCGCTCCACCAATGACCTCCGAGCCGCACTCCTGGACGCTACACGTAGATGGATCATCCAACCAACAAGGTAGCGACGCCGACATCATCTTGGAAGGACCAGGGACAATGATAATAGAACAGTCACTGCGGTTTGGATTCAAAACCTCGAATAACCAAGCAGAATACGAGGCCCTTCTCGCAGGACTCAGGTTGGCCGCCGATCTCGGCATCACTAAGTTCCAATGCTTTAGCGATTCGCAAGTGATAACAGGGCAAGTCAACGACACTTTCCAGATCAAAGATCCGACTTTGTTATTGTACTTTCATGCCTTCCAGAAGCTAAAAAGCAACTTCAAAAATGTCCGAGTCACACACACTCCCCGGGAACACAACGCTAGGGCCGACCAGCTAGCCAAACTAGCTAGTAGCAAGAAAACTAGCCATTTGCGTAGCATGATACAGCAAGAGCTGCTAAGCCCGAGCATCGATGAAACCGAATGCCTGCAGATTGATCAGGGAAGCCCGTGCTGGATGGATGCCATAGTAAACCACCTTCGGACCGGGGAGTTGCTTGAAGATCCCCTTGATGCGAAGAAGATGAGGACCACAACCGCACGGTATACGTTGATCGCTGGAGAATTGTATAAGCGAGGCATTTCTTCCCCCTTGTTGAAATGCCTCACTCCCGAACAGGCAAATTATGTTCTCCGAGAAATTCATGAAGGAGTGTGCGAAACTCATTCCGGAAGCCGGCCTCTCGCGACAAAAGTGATTCGGGCCGGCTACTACTGGCCCACCTTGAAGACTGATTGTGC